TAATTATTCACTTTCTACTCAATAATTTTTTCACTTTCAACTCTAAATTTTTTTCACTTTCAACTCTAAATTTTTTTCACTTTCAAGTTTAATTTTTCTCTATCAAAGAAACTATTAAATAAAATTCCTTTTTATTCAAAACATTCCATACATTAAAAAAACTAACCACAACCAAAGCATTAAATATATAAAAACAAACAAACTACAACCAAAGCATAAAAAAACCAAACATAACTAAACATAAAACATAAACATTAAAATCTGAAATTTGAAACCGAAAATCTTATCTGAAAATCTTATCCGAATATTTTATCAGAAAATCTCATCCGAATATATTGTCAAAATTAATTGTTTAGGTAAACAAATTTGTGAAAAAAAACAAAAATTGAATAGTACCCCCCCTTGCCCTGGCAACTGCTGGAAGTGCAACTTACTTTTTGCAAGGGCAGACACTATTCCCGTGAATAGAACCCCCCCTTGCCCCCCCCTTGCCATGGCAACATTTTAACTGCTGGAAATGCCCTAATGGATGAGCTTGGTTAGGCTTTAGTTCGCATGTCTCTGTCTGATTATAATGTATACATGGATATAAAAATATTTTATTACTTTGATAAGAAAATGTTTAAGATAGTTTGACAGGATTTGCATAAGGCTGCAAAACTATGAGAATGAGATGGTGGAGAACAGAAAAGAAAGAAATCTAATTGCTTTCTGCAAATGTTATGATTTAAAATACTATGCAGAAATGTTTGGAGAAAAATATTGTGCAAATGTTACAAAATAGAGAGTGATACGAAGGAAGTGGAACCCATGGAAGAAAAATAATGGAGGGTTGGAACCCAACTTTCAGTCAATCAAAATAGATCCAGATCCAGACTCAACCAACACAAATAAATGATCTCAATCCCAATGATTAGATAATTTTTTGTACTCGTTTGAGTTTCGGTCTACCGTCTACTGTATCCAAATTGATTGAAACTTGGTTTCCAGTTCATTTATTATTATTTTTTTGAAAAATACTTGCCTTTTTCCCTCGGAAGTAGGAACTTCTACAGTCCTACTAATCACAGTTTGACATGTGTGTTGAGATTCTTCTTTTTATGTTTTTGATGAATTATTTTTACATATGTGTCAAACTTTGATTTGTAGAAATATCTCATTCCAAGTAAGGAGCGAAGCAGTGTGCGTTTTTTATTTACTTGTTTTTTCGGTTCACACACATCCAAATTCAAACAACACAAAGAGATTATCTCAATCAATTCCAATAATTGGTTCGTGCTCGGCTGGGTTTGGATCTATTGTTTGTATCTGGATTTATGATTCCCCTTCAAATCAATATGGTTTCTTCATGAAAGGTTACTCCAAATAATTCTCTCCTTGATAGGATATCTAAAGGTCATCAAAATCAAACCACTGTAAATCCCTGAAATTTGGTATGAATTGATGATATGTTATGATCAGCTACTATAATTGGATTATGCTTACCTAAAATGTTAATTAATTAGTTTAGTAATCTGTAATGTCATTTGCTTTGCACTTTTGCACTGATTGATATTCGATTGTCTGTCTGTCTTAGCCTAGCTTGTGCTCAACTACTAGAACTGGATTCTGCTTACCTAAAAGATTTGGGATTAGAACGATTTTTGTTCTTCTTTCCTCATGTACAGGTAATTAATTAATTATATATATATATATATCCAAATAAGAACATCGCATTTTCATTTTTTGAGTGTTTCTACACAGAAACTTCATTGAATTGGGGAATTAATTCATTTTCTCATTTTCATTTTATTAAAACATTTTATGAAAGACTTCACTGGATTCTGCTTATTAAAGACTTCACTGGACAAGCACCATATTTCGATAATTTCTATTCTTATATGGGAGAAAAGTTTTGAGGGTGTGCTAAATTGGACCAAGCTTTTTTAAGGTGTAAATTCTTGATAAATAAGTTTCAAATTATTAGATAGTATCTACTTGAATTTTGCCCCCGTGTTTCTTATTTTTCTTCCCACACAACTATTGACTTAGACTTTTCTTTTTTCCTTTTTCTTATTTGTTGGGTCTGAGCCGGAAGTTCATTGAGATGTGGACTAATGGAGCTACATATTTATACAAGATAAACACACAAAACAGGACCACATCCATGATCTGCTGCTGCTAGTAATTGAATGAACCATGGAATTATTAATTTGGAACACAGAATATGTATTGAATTATAGTCTTTGCATAAAGTTAATTAGTAGCCTTTCTTTTTCTTCTAGTCTGAACATGTATTTCAATGAATTGGGGACATTACTGGATGATAAGACTTGTGGAAACGTGGTATTGGTTGGAAGAATGAATGTGTATAGCTCCACATAAGACTTTAACTTCACAGACTTGAGAATCACGAGTTCCAAACCAAAAGTCATGACAAATTATTGTAGGTATTGAGTCGACTTGACTTGAGATGGTTTCATACAAAGTTTTTCTGCATCCTGTGGGTCAGCATCACATGGGTCATGTCCTATCAGCCGTAATTTGCCTCCCATAATCCCATCCAAGGCACAAGCTATAATTATATCTTCTTTTGTACTCGTTTGAGTTTTAGTCTAGTGTCTATTGTATCCAGAGTGATTGAAACTTGGTTTTCAGTCCGTTTATTATTATTATTTTTTAGAAAATACTTGCCTCTTTTCCCAAGAAATAAGAACTCCTATATTCCTATTAATTAAAGTTTGACATGTATGCTGAGATTCTTCTTTTTGTGTTTTTGATAAATTATTTTTGTATATATGTCAAACTTTGATTTGTAGAAATACCTTCTTCCAAGTAAAAAGCGAAGCAGTGTGCTTTCTTTTTTAAACCTTTTTTTTTTGGGGTTCACACACAACCAAATTCAAACAACACAAACAGAGTATCTCAATCAATCCCAATAATTGGTTCGTGCTCGGCTGGGTTTGGATCTATTGTTTGTATCTGGATTTATGATTCCTCCTCAAATCAATATGGTTTCTTCATCAAAGTTACTCCAAATAATTCTCTCCTTATAGGATATCTAAAAGTCATAAAAAATCAAACCACTGTAAATCTCTGAAATTTGGTATGAATTGATGATATGATATGATCACTACTAGAATTGGATTATGCTTACCTAAAATGTTAATTAATTAGTTTAGTAATCTATAATGTTATTTGCTTTGCACTTTTGCACTGATTGATGTTCGATTGTCTGTCTGTCTTAGCCTAGCTTCTGCTCAGCTACTAGAATTGGATTCTGCTTACCTAAAAGATTTGGAATTAGGACCATTTTTGTTCTTCTTTCCTCATGTACTGGCAAATGATGCTAACTAAATTCATTTTAGTTGAAATTACAGTGAGAAAATACCACGTTATGAAGCAATAATATTTTGATCTTACTAATGTTTGGGGGCTATCAGCTCCTCTCTCTCTCTCTCTCTCTCTCTCTCCATGTTTTTAAAAACGTTGAGAGTGATCGATATATCTCTTGTACTCCTTAATTTTCAGACTCACAATAGATCGACAGAGTATTCACGCGTATGTATGATGGATTGAGATTGTCAATATATATGTATCAAGTCCGTGGTTACTGTGGACTCTTCTAGATGGTTGTTTGGATACAATAGTGCTCTTGGTAGTACAACAAAGCACAAATTAATAGCATCTAAAATGGAAGTTAGAAAGTTTTCAAGGGTTGCAATATCTTGTCATGTGATGAGGACATCTTTAAATGTACAATCCCGCTATGTCAGGACATCTTTAATAAAGACCCTTGGATTAATCCAACGACGACACATATAGTTAGTAGTTTAAACCCTCAATCATGCTCCTTGGTCTACCCAAACAACTCTTTTAACCCCCAAAATTTTGATGAATTTAGCGCTCCACATCTCCCTACCCACACTCCTCTGTCACTCACAAATAAGGAGTGCATGAGGTAATGTGAGAGTGATTTTATATTATTTAATAATATTTAGTTTTTATAGTGAATGAAAAATAAGTGTCGTGTGTTTTAGTATTTGTTTTGCACTTGGTTATTCTTCAAAGTGCAATTAATTAATAATTAAACGATGAGATTCAAATGATCAAGTGGTCTTGTTTCTATAGAGTTGTGTCTGTAACTTTTCAAATATAAAACTACTTATGTTTCAATTCAACAAGAGGTGTAATGAGTTTTATATAAACTAAACATCCTCACCGACTTGAGATATAGAATGAAGAGAGTTCTTACCCGTGAAAAACAAAGAGTATCCCTAGTGCTCTATTGTTAAATTCTTCCTAGTTTTGTCTTTAGAGTACAAATATATAATTGGTTCGCCAGATTTTTAAATTGAAGTGCTTCATTTTAGAATTATCGATTGTTGAATCCTGGGAGATAGACGCGCAGAGGCGAAATATGTCTTTAGGATATCGCAATTCTTGCAAGCCTCAATCACTAAAGTTGTTAGTATTTCTACATATTTGTGTTTGTTGATTTACATTAATTCCATGTGAATTTGTTGTATATTTGATGGTTATAATTTTGTTGAGAATTATTATAATCTAAATTCGTATTTTCTATTGTTCCGTCAACAAAAGATGGAATTGAAATTGAAGCCTCCATCCAAAGATGATGATAAAGAAGATGGCACTACTCTTTTTTGTCACTGGGGTTGCAAAGTGTTGGCTCCCAAGAACACCAAAGATGACCAAGCCAGACACGCCATTTTTCTATTTGAAAGCCTTCGGAGCAGACTTTTCCCACCATAGTCAGACCAATCAGAAGAGTGGGAACTTCTTAGAAATGAGTTTTTGGAGCCTTGGCCAACGAGTAAAGGGCCTTTGAGTGTTGTTGAAGCATGTGTTACATTCGAATGCCTAATGTGGTTGAGAAGTATTTGGAGAAGGTGAATGTAGGCGGCAACATCATAAAGCCGGATGCATTGCTTCCAAATGATATCATAACATCTGTAAAAGATAAGGATGTCCGCGAAGCAGCTAAGCTTTAGTGGAAGGCAATGGTGGAGGACATGTACCTAAAGGAGCAAAAGCAGGGGGAGGGTTTGGGCAAATTTAAAAACTGCTTGGCAGTGTGTAACATCACCACTAGTTTCATGGGCGAACCAGCCATAGAATTAGTAGTGAGATTGGGAATTTTGGTGTTTGAACTGAGTGAAGAGCCGGCATGGAAAAGAAAGGTGATAGGTCTTGGTCCCTTACCTAATCAGCTGCCTCTGCTACATTCGATACAAGGCGATGAGCTCAAGTCCAAGTACGAGTTTGTGAAGAGGACATGCAGTAGGAAGCGCAACAGGGATGTTAATTTTTAGAAGGTGTGTGATTTGCTTCTGGAAGTGGCTATGAATGAGAACTTGAAGGCATAGCATATCATCAAAAAGGTATTTGTGTTCAACGACATGGTAAGATTTGGTGGCTGCCCCTCATCTTGGAAGGCTCTGTATGAGGAAACATGGAGCAAGTTTAAGGAGCAAGGGTATGGGGATAATGTGATGCCACACATTTTGCTTTGGGATATTATGTACTTGGGGACATGTAGGCCTCGCATACAAGAACCTCATCCAGGGGTGACACTGTTGATTGGCCTCTCCGACACACTGATTAAGTCTTTCTTGGACAATGGTGGGGAAATTCGCTCGTGCCATCTGATGAAAGCAACCATTTCTGACAGAGAGTATCAAAATCTTGGTGTGGTCGACTGAACTTAAAGTGAGATCAAGATCTAGATCAATGAATAAGATATTCGACTAGATGATTCATCATCTCATAGATAGAATAATCTTAATTAGTTAGTTTAGTAAGATTTAGTTTAATTTGGTTTGCACTTTCAATTTGGTTGCAGCTGTTTTCATATATATATATTTTTTTGTGTATGTATTTTTCTTGTTTCTATGTTACAAATTCAGTAGTTATGAATTTATAATTGAGACTGTTGCTCTCAACAAAATTTATGTCTAAGGTGTTGCTCTATGTGGTCGTAACTATGCTTCAAAGATCAACTAGAAATTTTGGTTTTAAATCAATTGTCTTCCTACTTACAAAAAGAATGAATTATATTTGTCATATAAAAGTTTAGACAATGTTGTGTGCAAATCCAATGAGCACATATACTATTGTCTTTCAGTTTGTGAATGTTTTATGTACAAGTTTCCTTGAAGTTTGTCCATGATGAGCTATTGTGGGAGCAAAATAATTCACTACCAATCCGCAATGTTAAGGGATTGGATTTAGGCGCAACCCAATGGGGGTTCAGATGTGCATTAACCCGATGAAGTTCCGGATGTGCATTAACCCAATGTAAGTCTGGATGTGCGTTAACCCAATGCTCGGATGTGCATTAATGTAATGCGGGTCTGAATGTGCATTAATCCAATGTAAGTCTAGATGTGCATTAACCTAATTTGGGTTCGGATGTGCTTTAACCCAATGCGGGTTCGTATGTGCATCAACTCAATATGGGTTCGAATGTGTACCACCCAACACGGGTTCAGATGTGCATCACTCAATGTCGGTTCAGGTATGCACTACCCTATATAAGCTCATATACGAAAAACCTAACGTGGTTCAGGGGTATATTCAAACACTTATACTCCCACATCTACATGAATTGTCGAGCAAAATACACATGGTTGATGGTTGATCTCGCGTAACTCTCAGTGACTTGAAAATGGAAAAAGTGGGCATAGGACGTGCAAATTGAAGCTTGCATCCCAAGGCTGTCACTACGTATAAAGATGAAGTTTCACAACCAAATGAAGGGATGCAATTTCAAATTAACTCGTGCACTCAAATACATACAAAAACTAACTTGAACGTCGGAGTGCCTTTTGCAAGTACCCCAACCTCTTTCATTTGATTTTGAAAGAGTGTTGCCTGGAAATTTCACTTATCCTACGTGCGGAGTAAAGTCAGGAACCTATGGAAGATATTCTTATTATAAGAAGTTCTGCTTCACCAGTTGGCGCCGTTTGTGGGAACTCTTGCAAAATCAATCAATGGCTAAATCCGCACAAGCCACTCTAGCTCGATCCTACTTCCGATCTGTAGATGTCAGACTAAACTCCCAGGAAGGATAACCCAGCCTCGCAGCAATCCAATGTAAGAAGAAAATGAAGGACTTGCGTGAAACAAAGAAGATGACGACCTAAGCTTTGGAAAAGTCCAAGGGAAATTATATGTTGTATCAGGAAGGCTCAAGGGAAACAAAAGGAAGGAAATGATAGAATTATATGATGAAAGTTCCACGTTGAATATTCGCTCTGATGATTAGTATGACAACCATGAGGACAACCATGACCAAATGAGGGAATTGAAAATTTCCAAAGATAACGAGCTGTGAAAGCAGACTGAAAAAGATTGTGAAAGGGTACAAACCGCAAACACCTGCCGACTTGGCTGTTGAAGTTGCAAAAGGAACATGCAAATTTCCCTTCACCGATGATATTTTGAAGACTAAGAAGCTCACGAAGTTTGCTAAACCCAAATTCAAGTTTTTTGAAGGCGTAGTTGATCTCATCGAGCATATCTATCACTTTGAGCATCAGATGGTCTTGGAAAGCGAAGAAGAAAGGTTGTTGTGTAAGCTATTCCCGTCTAGGCTGTCAGGGTTGGCCTTGATGTGGTTTAGGCAGTTGAAGCCAAAATCCATCGGCAACTTCACTGATCTTTGTGAAGCTTTCATATCTCAATATGCGTGCAATCAAAGGAGAAAGTAAGACATTACAACATTATTCAACACAAAGCAAAAGGCAAGCAAAAGTCTCAAGGATTATTGAAATGGTTCATGGAGGACATGTCTACTTTAGAGACTCATGATTCTCATACTGCATTATTGGCATTCCGCGAGGGAGTGACACTAGGAACAAAGATGCATAAGTCTTTGGTCAAGACACCATACCTCGACATAAGGGAGGTGCTGATGGAATCATTCGACTTGAAGAGAAAGAAACTTGTGCAATGCAAGGGCAAATGGTTCGAGGAGCTACCAAACGTGTTGTGGTGTACCGAACCACAAGGTGAAAGCCAATTGGGGAATGTCTTTCTTCTTTAGCCTATGAAATTGAAGTTGTTATCCCAATTGAGATTGAACTGCCCATAATCCGAACGGTGGTGGTGGATGGTAAAGATAATGATCAACAAATTGCTTGCAACCTATATTTGATTAAGGAACATCAAGAGGTCGCAACACTATGACTAGAAAATTATCAGAACTAGGTCACTAATTACTTTAACAAGCGGATCCACCCAAAAAGGTTCAAAGTTGATGAATGGGTCCTCATGAGAGTAATGAAAAACACCAAGGATCTGAATGCAGGCAAGCTTGGTCGCTCATTGGAAAGATTGTTTAAGGTCACAGAGGCATATGAAAAGGGCACCTATTAGCTAAAATGGGTTGAGATTGGTTTATATATGACACGCCCATGGAATGCAATTCATTTGAAGAAATATTATGTTTAAATTCATCTACTTATCTATGATTTCATCTATATTTATTAAATAAAATAAGCATTTTCAATTTAAATGTCAATTCGCGCACTTGACTTAAATTTGTTCTGAACCCAACTATGATTGAACTTATCAATAGGAACCATATTGATTCTAACACTACCCTGAGCTTACCAATCCTCTATGAACAATCAGTTGGATCCATGCTTATTCCAACATCACCTAGAGGTTACTTATCCTCTGGGAGTAATCAATAGGATCCATGTTGATCCCAACACTAACCCAAAGTTACCAATCCTCTAGGGGCAGTCAATTGGATCCATGTCGATCCCAACATCAACCAGAGGTTACCAATCCTTTAGAGTCAGTCAGTCGGATTCATGCCGATCCCAACATCACCAAAAGGTTACCAATCATCTGAGAGCAATCAATAGAGCCAATATCGATCCTAACACTACCCTGAGGTTGCCAATCCTCTAGGGGGCAATCAGTCGGATCCATGCTCATCCCAACATCACCCAGAGGTTACTATCTTTTAGGAGCAATCAATAAGGTCCATATCGATCCCAACACTACCCTGAGATTACCAATCGTTTAGGGGCAGTTAGTTGGATCCATGCTGATCCCAACATCACCCAGGGGTTACCAATCCTCTAGGAGCAATCAATAAGGTTCATGTCGATTCCAAAACTACCATGAGGTTACCAATCCTCTAAAGGTAGTCAGTTGGATCCATGTCCATCCCAACATTACCCAAGAGTTATCAATCTTTTAAGGCAATCAATAAGGTCCATGCTGGTTCCAACACTACCGTAAGGTTACCGATCATCTGGGGCAAGGACGGACCCAAGAATCTTATCTCATAGGGTCATAGTGTAAAAGTTCAAAATTTTTTTTGGAGGGGGGAGGGGGGGTGGGTCTGAGGTTGGTCTGAGGTTGGCAATGGAGGAGCTGGGGCTTAAAGGTTTGGGTTGGGGGTGGAGATTGGGTATTTAGGTTTGAGGGTTTAGGAATGAGGGTTTTGGAGTTCTCAAGTCAGGAGGGATCTGTTCAAATCTGTTCTAATTTTTTTTTTAAAGACCTAAACCAAAACGACGTCGTCTTGGCCAGGTCTTTTTAAAAAAAATTCGATAGGGCTGGACCAAAATGACTTTGTTTTGGCCAGCGTGTTAAAAAAAAACACTAAACGACGTCGTTTTGGCTAGCGTGTTTAAAAAAATAAAACAAACAAAAGCACTGTGCAACTTCTTCTTTCTCGAGTTTGCAACCTTCTCCTTCAGGCATTCATGAGGTCACACAACCATTAAAGATGACCTTTTAGCTTGCTTTCATAGAGTGCATATGGTCGTTTGACCATACTGTGAGTCCGTCCCAATATCACACAAGGATTAACATTCGTTTGGGGCAATGAATAAAATCCATGATAATCGAAACAATACCCTGAGGTTACTTATATCCTCTGGGGACAGTTAGTTGGATGCATGTCGATTCCAACATTACCAAAGGATTACCAATCTTGTGGGGGTAATTAATAGAATCCATACAGATCCCAATGCTACCCTAAGGTTACCAATCCTCTAGGCATACTCATTCGGATCCATGTTGATCCCAAAATCACCCTAAGATTACCAATCCTCAAGGGGACAGTCAATAGTGTCCATATCGATCCCAACATTACCTTGAGATTACCGATCCTCTAGGGGCAGTCAGTCAGATCCATGCCGATCTTAACATTACCATAAGTTACCTTTCCTCTGGGAGCAATCAATAGGATCCATGTTGATCCAAACACTACCTTGAAGTTACTAATCCTTTAGAGGCAATCAATCGAATGCACGCCGATCCCAACAATATCTAGAGGTCACCAATCTTTTGGGAGCAATCAATAGGGTCCATGTTGATCCCAACTTTTCCCTGGGGTTACTAATCCTATGAGGGCAATCCGTTGGATTCATGCCGATCCCAACATCACCCAAAGGTTACTAATCCTCTGAGAGCAATCAATATGGTTTATGCTGATCCCAACACTACCCTGAGGTTACCAATCATGTAGAGGCAGTTAGTTGGATCAATATCGATCCCAACATCAACTAAGGGTTACCAATCCTTTAGGGCAATGAATAAGGTATATACTGGTCTTAACACTACCTTAGGGTTACCAATGCTCTTAGGGCAGTTAGTTGGATCCATGATAATCTGAACTTCACCTAAGGGTTACTAATCCTTTGGGGCAATTAATAGGATTCATGCCCATCCCAACATTGCCTTGAGGTTGCTAATCCTTTAGGGACAGTCAGTTGGATCCATGTCGATCCCAACATCACCCAGGGTTTACAAATCTTGTGGGGCAATCAATAAGATTCATACTAATCATAACACTCCCCTGAAGTTACCAATCATTTGAGGACAGTAAGTTAGATCCATGCCGATCTCAACAGCTCCCAGGGGTTACCAATTCTGTGAGGCAATCAAAAGGATCCATGCCGATCCCAACACTACCTTGAGGTTATCAATCCTTTAGGGGCAGTCAGTCGAATCCAAGTTGATCCCAACATCACCCAAAGGTTACCAATCCTTTGGGGGCAATCAATATGATCCATGACGATCCTAACACTACAATAAGGTTTCCAATCCTCTACGGGTAGTCAATTGGGTCCATATCGGTTACAATCCTCTAAGTTAGTTTAATTTGGTTTGTACTTTCAATTTGGTTGCTGCTGTTTTCATTTTTTTTTGTGTGTGTGTGTATTTTTTCTTATTTTTAGGTTACAAATTCAGTAGTTATGAATTCATAATTGAGACTGTTGCTCTCAGCAAAATTTATGTCTAAGGTGTTGCTCTATGTTGTGGTAACTATGCTTAAAAGATCGACTAGAAATTTTGGTTTTAAATCGATTTTCTTCCTACTTACAAAAAGAATGAATTATATTTGTCACATAAAAGTTTAGACAATGTTGCATGCAAATCCAATGAGCATATATACTATTGTCTTTCAATTTGTGTATGTTTTCTATACAATATTCGTTGAAGTTTGTTCATAATGAGCTACTGTGGGAGCAAAATAATTTGCTACCAATCCATCACGTCACGTGATTCGATTTAGGCGCAACCCAATACAGGTTTGGATTTGGTCCAAATGTGCATTAATCCAATGTAAGTCTGGATGTGCTTTAACCTAATGTGGGTTTAGATGTGCTTTAACCCAATGCGGGTTTGTATGTCCATTAACTCAATATGAGTTTGGATGTGTACCACCAAACACGGGTTTAGATGTGTACCACCCAACACGAGTTCAGATGTGCATCACTCAATGTGGGTTCATATGATACTTGTCTTCTTTGATTTGAATCAATTAATTTTGATTGCAATCTACTCTTAATAGCCACCAAATCTCTTTTTGGCATGCAATCAAATTAATTTTTTTGGGTAGTGTGAAAATTTAAGGCCAAACACATAGTGTTGAATTTGAACCAGAGCAATTAAGAGATGAAGAAAGCAGTGCCTTTGAAAGTATGTTCAACTTTCACTATGATTCTCAAAGTTGTGGCTTCTCCTGCTATTACATTTCCAACTTCAACAACCCGAAGATTAATGTCTTCCAACTCCAACGCTGACATGGCCATGGCCAAGAACATCTCATTCTCTTTCTACAATGATCTGTATTTCCACTTGACATAGCCAGACTGGTGCAGCACCGATTGGCTAAACCACCAGAGCTAACCTATGAAGAAATCAAGCAGAAGCTGCAGAAAAAGCATGCCTCCATTAACTATCTGAAGCAACTATTGCCGGTGGCCTAGTCCAACCATCCCTAACCACCCTGAAGCTCATCTTCGATCTCAATTCTGTCTTTATTCAAACTGGAAAACATTATTAAGAGGCCTTCTACATAGGCCGCATTTTGGCTCCACCATAATCCCCCCAAGACGCTATTATGAAACATCCTTTTTTTTGTCGACTCTGGCTCGTTAGCTCGTTTGTGGGACCTTGTCGAGATTCTTTACGACCTTCTTTTATAACAAGGCCAAGACATTGCGGTGCAGAGGCTCCAACATGACATGGGTGATAAGTTGTTACATGACCGCGTTATGGATCTCTTGGCAAAGCAATTGAATTATGATATTAACAAATTGAAGCAGCACGAGCTAAGGATAGAATTGGAATTTAAGCCATCATCCAAAGATGATGATAAAAAGAATATGATATTACTCTTTTTGTTACCGAGGTTGCAGCGTGTTACACTCCCAACAACAGCGAAGACGACCATGCCAGACGCACTGTTTTGTTGTTTGAAAGCCTTGGGAGTAGACTTTTCCCACCAGAGGTAGATCAATCAGAAGTCTGGGTGTTAGAGTTTGTATAGGAAAATACACTTTCACTTAGTCCCGCATTGGAAGGGAGTGGTTTCCTCTCATGGTTTATAAGCATCAATACTTTAAAAACACTAAATAGGGAATGGGCTAGTGGATTTCATCATGAATTAATGTTTTCTAATGGTTTTAGTTGTGCGTTCAATAAATCCTATCATTGTGTAAAGTATGACAATTGATGGTTTTGATTTTGATAATTGTTATCAATAAATATAGACGACTAAAAAAATTCTTTATAGACCCTTTTTTTAAAAGGTTTTTTTTTCTTGCTTTAATTTTAGGTTCATTTATTTTAGAGGGATACTAGTCTCTCCGCATGCGCTTTCGTGCATGCGAGAGACTCTTTTTTAATCACGTGCGCTACGCACGACTTACAATGTTTCTTTGTTTATTTTTCACAATTGTATTTTTCTAGATGCCCGTCTCAATTGTTTCTCTTTTTCTATTTAAGACGGGCATATAGCAAACTACAATGGCGGAAAAATAAAAAGAAAAATTAATAAGTCACACGATAAAAGAGACATCTAGAAAAATACAATTGCAAAACAAATTAAAAAAAGAAAAAAAAACATTGTATCAGAAAATAGAACGCGCTGCACGCGCTTGGGTTTTCTAGGGATTTCACGATCTTTTGCTCTTTGTTGTGCTGTGACTGTTCCATCATCCCTGGTGGTGTATATGATATCTAAGTTTATGTTCATTGTTCGTGGCGACTCGAAGAATGGCCTGGTTGTTAGAGAGAACCATGCTCATACTCGGGAGATGTTGGATGTTGGTGGATTGGATTCTGATGAGCTTCCTCATTCTTTACTTTAAATTTCAATAAGCTTCAAAGATAAAGTCTCTGGAGATTTTGGGATGGCTAAGGATAAGTTTGAAATCAGTGATGATGATATTGTAATCAAGCATGGGGCCATTCCATCTGTTGAATTTTCTGAAAGGTTTGATTGCTTGTACATGCCTTGAAGGACTGCTGTGATTATCAAGCTAAAGGCTCCAATGAGTTTAATAGATATGGAAAGCAATTATTTCATTGTGAAATTTCTTCTTGAGGAAGATAAGAGGTATGTGCTTATTGATGGTCCTTGACAAATTGCTGGGCAAAATATTGTGACTCAAAATTGGAAACCTAGGTTTAATGCTAAAGAAGAGAGGGTTATTATTACTTATCCTACTAATTTGGTTGCTGAGATTCCAGCTAAGATGCATGGTCAATGGATGCTGATGAAGCCTAAGAATTTCAGATTGAAGGTTCCACATGAAAAGGGCAAATGTTCTCTTATACCAAGAAGTCTGATAAGGCTAGTGGTGTGATGATTTCAACTACCCAGTCAAGATCTAGATTTAATATTTTGAGGGATGACGATGGTATGGACGATGAGGATGATAGTTTCACTCCTAGTCCTTTTAGTTTCAAGAAGGCTTCTAAACTAGTTGCTTAAGCTCATGAGCGTGCCTCCCATATGTCTAAGTCTTTTGGGAAACAAGCTGGTACAGTGCGTAATGTTTCTACTTGGGTTTTTAAGAAGCCTATGAGAGTTATCAACTTTGCAGGTTCTGGAATTGTTGTTAAGTCTGATTTTGGTGCTCGAAGGGTTGGGAAGAATATGGTCGAGAGTGCTTTTAATTGCTCTAAAGGTCTGAATGTTGTGGGAATGCAAGTTCATGGGGTTTCTATCCAAGAGGATGTTCTTGGGAAGTTTTCTTTCAATATGGAGGGTCCTTTATTTTCTAAATCTTCTCTAGGGAAAAATGGGCTACTTCATGGTCATGAACCCCATGACATTGGTCAAATAGTGCTAAATGAAGCTTTCTCTTCTGGTGTTAGCTTAACTTCTAACAATATGGATCACCATGATGACTTTGTTGATCCAGAGTTTGGTATTGGTACGACTATGGTCGTTGAACAAGCTGCCTCCACTAGTGGTGAGGCTGAGCAATTGCATAATTAGGTTTATCCTAAGTTCTTCCCTATCCTTTATTTTTTATAAGGAATATTGTCTCATGGGATGTTAGGGGTGTTGGTAAGGAAAGTTGTGCTCGTACTATTAAAGATTAAAAAAAAAAGGCTTATGTTATTGATATTCTAGTTATTCTTAAGCCTAGAATTGGTGGTATTAGAGCTTTGCAAATTGCTAAGAGTTTGGGTTTTTCTAATTATCATATTGTTGATGCCACTGGTTTTTCTGGGGGTGTTTGGTTGTTGTGGAATGACAGCTACATCTCTCTTCAAATCATTGCTCATTCTAGTCAATTGATTACTGCTCTAGTGCAATTGGGGACTAATTGGTGGTTGCTTACTGTGGTGTATGCTAACCCTTGTCCTGGTATTCGTGAGTCTTTTTGGGCTTATTTCGATGGTCTTGCCCAGGCTTCTCAGCTGCCTTGGTTGATTTTAGGGGACTTTAATGACATTGTTTGTGCTGATGAAAAGTTTGGTGACAACTTTGACTCTAGTGGATAGAATTTTATTCATTGGATTGATTGTAATCAGCTCATTGATTTAGGTTTCTTTGGAGCCAAGTTTACCTGGTGTAATAAAATGAATGCTAAGGGTATCATTTGGAAAAAGGCTTGACAGGGGTTTAAGTAATATTGCGTGGAGATTTTGTTTCCTGAGGCACATATTTCTCACTTGCCTAGGGTGAATTCAGATCACTGTCCTCTCATGGTTAGGTTGTCTTCTACTCATCTCCCTGATAAAGATTGTGTGCCTTTTCAGTTTCAAGCCATGTGGTTCACCCATCCTGGGTTTTCTGAGTTTATTACTGATTTTTGGCAATCTAATAATGGTAATATGGTCCTTAAATCTGCTGGGCTTGTGTCCCATCTTATTTCTTGGAATATGCAGGTTTTTTGGTTGTCTTTTTCAAAAGAAACGAAGACTTTTGGCTAGACTTGCAGGCATTCAAAGGAAGTTATGTTTAAATTATAACTCTTATCTTAGTACGCTTGAGCATGAGTTATGTACTAAGTATAATTTGGTCCATAAGCAGGAAGAGTTGTTTTGGTTACAGAAGTCTAGAAATACTTGGTTGAAGGAAGGGGATAGAAACACTCGCTTTTTTTCACTTGTCTACTGTCATAAAATGGAGGAGGAATAAACTTGAAGGTCTGAATAATGAGGTTAGAATTTGGATAACTGATAAGATTGGAATGAAACAGACTATTGTCAATTATTTCCAAGGGTTGTTTGGTGAATCTGTTTTGGTTGATGACTATAGGTTGCTCCCTCATATATTTCCAAGGCTAGTTGATACTGATTTAGAAGGTGTAAGTTGTGAGGTTACTGATGATGAAGTTAAAAATAATCTGTTTGCTATTGGGGGATTAAAACTCTTGGACCTGATGGATTTCCTGCCCTCTTTTATCAGAAATGTTGGGGGATGTGCTTTGCTGATATTATTGCTTTGGTGAAGGATTTTTTTTTAATTACTTCTCTTCATGAGAATATTAATGAGACGTTGATTTCTTTGGTGCCCAAAGTTGAGAGAGATGTTTCCATTACTCAACTTCGCCCTATTAGTCTTTACAAAACCCTCTATAAAGTGATTTCTAAGATTCTTGTTGCCAAGCTTCGGCCTTGTATGGCTAGTTTGGTTAGTCCTAATCAAGTGAGCTTTGTCTCAGGAAGACAAATTGTTGATAATGTTTGTACCATATCTGACCACCTATCCGCGTCGTGACACGTGGAACACACTTAAAGCCGAGAGCAGCTCAAGTAGGCCATGACGAATGTTCCTTCAGCATTCTCTACCGATTCTAGGATCAACTACGGTCCATCAGCTATCCATGCCAACTTTCGGCATGGTGTGCCGAGCGACCAACAGTCACATCAATCAAACCCTGACAGGTCGTCTTAGAACTTCTGCCAGAAACTGTCAGAGCACGTGTCGATCTCCGAAGACTCTCCCACGAGTCCCACATCGAAACTGAGTACTAAGAGCATCACAAATGCTCTTTATAAATAGAGCCCATTAGCCCGGCCAAGTGGTAAGACTTTCTGACTTGACTAGTGCTTCCACTGTCAATAGAATCGCTCTTAGTTACTAAATTTGGCATCGGAGTGCCTTCGGCAGGTACCACATCGGTATCCGCTCCTCAGTTCGGATCCAGCCCCCGCTCGAACCTTCGGACATCACGGAAGAAGGTCACCTCGGTCCTCAACCATCAGCATACTTGTAAGTTAGCCTAAACTCTTATATGTTCAGATTTAGCGCGAACAGATAATATTGTTGCGGCTCAAGAAATGCTGCATAAGTTTAAAATTTCGAAAGGAAGGAAGAGTTTTATCGCTTGTAAAATCGATTTATCCAAAACTTATGATTGGTTAAGTTGGGATTTCCTTAGAAAAGTGCTTTGGGAGGTTGGGATTCGTGGTAGATTTCTTGAGTTTTTAATGCAGTATATTAACTCTATATGATATAAGGTGATTCTTAATGGTAAATTAACTGATACTTTCTTTCCTAAGTGTGACATTCAACAAGAAGACCTTCTTTCCCCCTGTAGGGGTTTTTTTGTTCCAGCAGCCTGACAAATGGGCTTGGGCTGCTGTAAGAAGACGACGAACAAAACCCCCAAATGCCTGAGTTCGAAACCAAGCTCCTAAAAGAGTTTTTAGAAAATCTGATGAGATTTTAAAAGAACACTCTTAGGTTCACTTTACTAACACCCAAATAAGCATGATAAATCCACTAATGGCTTAGCCTGAGGAGCCTTTGGCATGGGAGCTAAGCTTTCACAAGTTTAGCAATTTGAGAGAGAGAGAGAGAGAGAGAGAGAGACATGAGTTCCTTATAGAGAACAAGAGCCCGAAGTGAACAGGGGAATATTAGTACGACTTCTATCCTAAGGGGGAGAAGAAGAACGAACGAAAGAGGGGATTGGGTGTCCTGAGTGAATTCTCAGATGCTTGACAAAGCTTGGTCAGGCTATCAATGGTTGGGTTTTTCTGGGTAGCAAAAGCCCTATTTTATAGGCGTCAAGAAACCTAATTTTGTCTGGTCTTCCTTTTCCTCTTCCTTTGGCAGCTCCCTACTTAGTCCTATTTTGGTGAAATTCTCTTATCAAGGCATATGGGTAAGGAACCCTTTGTGGTTTCAACGATTTTGACGCAGCTGGACCTCCCCACAAGGGTGAGGCGCCACTTTGCTTTTTCTCAACGTTTTCAAAACAGAGCTTGTAATGGGGAAGGAGATGGGTAGAGCCTTTTGTCTGATGGGTATTTGCCATTTACCCATGAATTTCTGCTGGTTATTGCCTTGGCCCTTTGTCTGACTTGTTTGGAGTCTCATCAAAGGTGGAGCACGATGACAGCTTTTCTACAAGCTGCTGGGCTGGGCTTGTGTGTAACGTTGGGTTGCTGGCCTATTATCTCTAGTGGATTTTCACCAAACTGCTTGAAAGGGCTTTTGCTAATTTCTTTGGGGGGCACTCTATTGATGTGGGTTGGGCTAAGTATTTTGGTAGGTTACTTGGTGTCTTCCTAGAGCATGGGGTAATTTTCTCTTCTCTCTCATGCTAACCCATGTGCTTGGGTTCTAGGAACGGACTTGAGTTTTAAAACCCCCAAGTGGCTTAAAAACTTGCGCCCCTTGAACCCTCAATGGGCCCTGTGATTGCTCGTTTCCTTCCATACCACAACCTTCTCAGTAAGCCCCGGTTAATTTTGTGGCTTAGACCCACTTAAGCTCGTGGCATAGTTTGGTGTTAGAATAGTGGCTCTTCTTGCATGATATCCATGCTCGTGCTTGGGGTTTTATTATGCTGTGATAGGCTATAATTGGGCCAAGTAACACCGAATGAGCATGTGAGCGTGATTTTGTAATGTCGGCATGCTCTTGGCCCCTTCTGCACGTGCTTGCTTGGCATGATTCGTGGCTTGTAGCTTGTGTTGGCGGCTCCTACAAATTCTCTTTTGTCCCGATTGAGCCTATTTTGCATTCAATCACCTGTGTTGGGCCAAAGATTAATTTGGGTTTAGCCCCTTGGATTTTTGGGCCTCAACACCCCCTAAGTGTGGCATTCAGCAAGAGGACCCTCTTTCCCCCTATCTCTTTTGTTTTGTGTATAGAAAAGTTTTCGCATATTATTCAGCAGTCTGTTCAGGACAAGGCTTAGAAGCCGGTGTAGATCTGCCAAGGTGGTCCTTTTATCTTTCATCTCTTTTTTGCTGATGATTTGATTCTTTTTGGAAAAGCTTCAGTCAATCAGGATATTGTTATGAAGAAATGTTTAGATGGCTTTTGTTGTCTCTTTGGTCAGAAGGTGAGTTTTGAGAAATCTATGATATATGTTTCTCCAAATACTTCTTCTGAGTTGGCTCATTCTATTGCAACTATATGTGGTTTCCTTCTCATTACTTGTTTGGTAAGTATCTTGGTGTTCATCTTATTCATACACGAGTCACTAAAGCTACTTATCAAGATATTATTGATAAAGTTCAAAGGAGTTTATCTTTTTGGAAAAGCCATACTCTCTTTATGGCTGGTCGTTTGACTCTTTTGCAATCTGTCACTTCTGTTATCCTTATTTATTCCATGATATCTGCTAAATTGCATGTTTCTGTTTGTGAGAAACTTGATCAGTTATATAGAATTTTTTTATGGAGGCATACTATTGATCAAACAAAGGTTCACTTGGTTAATTGGGACATTGTTTGTAACCCTAAATTTGTTGGTGGTTTAGGTATTAAGAATTTTGCTTGGATGAATCAAGCTTTTCTTGCTAAAACTGGTTGGCGATTATTGCAACGTGAGCAAGGTCTTTGGGCTCAAGTGTTTAATGCAAAGTATCTACGGCATTGCGATATCCTTGCTGCTAAGGATCTGCAATTCCAGAGTAGCTTCAATGTTTGGAGGGGTATTTTATATGGTGCTCAAGTTCTTTCTGCATGTATTAAATGTCGTGTGGGATCTGGCAATGATATCTTGTTCTGGACTTATAGATGGCTTAGTTGTGGTCCTTTGCAGCAATTTGCTCTAATTGATTTATCTGAGGACATGCTTCAATTGAATGTTAGTAACTTTTTGGAGGATAGGGTTTGGGATTTCAATTGCTTAGTGGAATGTCTGCCTATGAATATTGTCAACTTGATTCTTAGTACTCATGCTGGGTATAATGGTAGTGGGAAGGATAAATGCATATGATAGTTCACCTATAATGGCCAATTTTCTTTAAAAACTGCCTATATTATCTTTTATCCAGATGAGGGTAATGCTAATTGGAAATGGAATTTTATTTGGAAGCTTCATGTTCCACCAAAGGTTAAGACCTTCCTCTGGGTTCTGTGTCATAAGAAGTTACTTAAGAACGCTCAAAGATTGAAGAGAAAGCTCACTAATGCTGTTGTTTGTCCTAGATGTGATTGTCCTTTGGAATCATGTGCGCATCTCTTTAAGGATTGTACTGCCACTCTTGCTATTTGGAATAGACTTGGGATTGGGGGAGTGGAGTCTGATCAGTTGATGGATGATTATGTGATTGGCTTTTGCATAACTTGAGATCGAAGAGGTTTGTTATCCATGGGCTGCCCTGGTATTTGGTTTTTGCTATCTTTATTTAGTTCAGATGGCAATGGACATATAAAGTGGTTTTTTTAATCATATTTTTCTTTTGTCTGATGACCCTTATCTGTTGATTTATCAGTGTGCTTTGGAGTGGTTTTCAGGTTGTAATTCAATGGCTATTCTCCTTGAGCGTAGTGTTGTTCATCTCTATTGGATGGCCCCTCTTCTTGGTATTTGTAAAATCAATACTTATGGTAGCAAAATTAATTCCTCTGGTCTTATTGGGGCTGGGGGTTTGTTAAGAGAATCTTGTGGGAGTTGGATCAAGGGTTTCTCTATGAATCTAGGCTATGGTTCCATCGTTGAGGTTGAGTTATGGGGGCTCTTTTGGGGGCTTAATATGGCTTGGGATGTTGGTTTTCGCACGATGAAGATTGAGTGTGATGCTATTCTGCTGTGGCTTTGTTAAAAAGTCCTATTGTGTCACCCTCTCTTAAGTATTATCAATTGTTGCAAAATGAAGATTCATAAGGACTGGTGTTGCTCTGTCAAACATATTTTTCGTGAACAAAATTGTGTTGTGGATGCCCTGGCTGCGAAGAGTTATGATTTTGGTCTTGGTCTCCTTGTGTTTTTGGAGGCTTCGGCTTTTCTTAATGCTAGGTTACCTGCTGATGTTCGAAGTATTGCTAGACCTCTTCTAGTTTCTGTTTAGTTTCTTTTTGGTTTGAGGCTTTAACCCCCCTTTGTACCCAAAAAAAAATTGTAAGGAGCGTAGCATGTGATTAAAAAAGAGCCTATTGCATGCAAAATGGGGAGAACAATGGCACTTTGAAAAATTAATATATTAATATAATGAATAATTATATGAAATCGACGAAGTGATGTTTACTTTTGAAAGTTATGAAGAATTGTATTAAATCAATGTGTTTGCCCAATGGGCTGCATAACATCATCCCTGTCTAAGGAAAATAGCCGAAGGCCCTTTTTAGAACATGAGTGTATTTCTAGTATGTTAAAATTAACACTCATGCAGTTCTTGTTGATGTGTGATTTGTAACTTCATACATAAATTCATATTTGTGGTAGCTGATAGTTGGGTGCCACATGCAAATTTTTCCGCTTTGTAGTTGTAAGTCTGCCCTGGTGTTGGTGGTGAGAGTAGCCAATCTCCCCTAAACTTTTCTTCATAAAAAAAAATAAAAAATAAAAAATAAAACTGATGCAGAGATGAAGAGACAAATGCTTGTTCAGAGTTTATTCTAAAATGAACTACATGTCGTTTTATGAAAATAAACAATAATAATAATGAAAGCATTATTCCTTTTTATTTTTTTCTAATATATTAAATAATATGTATATAGGCAGGAGATAGTAACTTGCAACTAATTCTTGCAATCATTCAAACAACTTTTAAACAATGATTAAGACAGAACCTAATTACATAGGTTGGATTCTATTTCAAATTTTCATAAATTAATGAGAGGTTGCCATTTGTATTATTGAAAAAAGAAAAAGAAATTCATATGTACTCGATATGTCATGTGTTTCTGTTGCACACCGCTAATTAATTAAGAGTCCAGTACAAACTTTTCAAATGCATTAGTTATATCACGTGTCTCATGTGGGAAATGGGATTCGAACTCGGGTTCAAAGTGGGAGAACATCTGGTTTAACCAACTTGACTAAGCCCAAACAATATTCTATTTGTTTATGTTTAGCTGTTGGTCCTTAATTTTTTTTGCAAAAGAAAATTTGAGTATTTAAAAGAATTGTTTTCCCGTTTGCGTAGAAGTGAATTTGGGTCCTAACTCCAAATCCATTTGTTTGGGTCACTCCTGTATTAATAGCCCAGATTTGACTTCGGGCCGAAACTCCAGAGCTCAAATTTAAGGACAGTCCCCCCTTAATAGTCGTCCAATCAATGAGAATGTTATTATTGGACGGTTGGATTCAACCCAAAACAAAACCCCCTTTCACTTGGAAGCTCGCTCTCTTCGTCTTCGCGAGAACTCTCTCTCACCGGGATCTTTGTTCCGATTGAGCTGTCAAAACACTTTCCCAAATTGTTATATAAAATAAAATCAACCAAATTTGTTTGTATATTCAATCTGTTTTCGTATTATCTATTTATTTATTTGCGGTGAATGTAACTGGGAGAAGTAGATGATGAGGGCTGTGGATGGTTCGAAGTGAAAAAGGTGTAATTTTTTTCTTCCTCGATTGCCCCATTTTCTTCGATTACCAACATTAACATCCGGTATGCGAAGAAAAGTTTAGGCAGCGGCTCTGGTGCTTTCTTTTTGAGAGCATAGGATGGAAGAAACACTTGAAGCTGCTACCTGCTAAAACCCCTTGAGGCCAAGCTCGAGAGGTTCCTCCAGTGGTTACAGGTGCCCATATGTTTGCATTCTCCTCTAAGCTTTCATCACTAACCAAATAGCGCAAACTGTGATTTTGATAATTTGGGTTTTCGAATTGAGGTTAATGGACCGGAGCTACATGGCTGCAAGATCAAGTACTCTAATTCCAGAAAAGGGTTTGGCATTTTTTCGTCTAGTGAAGTTTCTGATGATGGTAACCTAGCTCTTCCATTTACGCATAAGTTATTGGGTTTTTGTTTATCTATGCGTTTACTCATTTTGTTATCTGAGAACATGTGCGACTGGTAAAGAATTCGAATTTGAGTGTCAGATACTAACTTCTTTAAGAATCATATGGAAAAATATACCACAGCATTCGAATTCTATGGGTATTCGGCTGGACAAACCTTATTAACTAGTACTTCAACTCAACTTTGGCAATTTAGTCCTTTGATAATTGAAGTAAACATGGACATAAGTTCTTAAAGAATTTACGTTTGTTTAAATAAGTTATTGAAGATTTTTCTTTGAACTTTTTTGTGCAATCTGTCAAGATAATTTGATTTGGGCAATCCGAGAAACTTACTTGGGAAAACATATGCAAACCCCCCAGGAACTCCTTGGCTTCTTTTATTTCCTTGGGCAAGCCTAATTCAGCCAACCCACTCATGTCCACCCCTTCTAGTTAAGAATCCATGGGTAAAATGTGTCCCAATAAAAACCACATTGTAAGATGTTCTTTTATTTTTTGTTTTAGTGTGCAACATTCTAGGTTGCAACACTCCAATAATTAGACCATAATTTTGATTTGTTTTTGGAACTTGGAAATAAATTTCAGGGGTTCTATTGGTTGTTCCTCTGGATTTAGCAAGAACTCCTATGAGAGTGTTGCAAGATCCGCTTCTTGGACGGGAGTGTAGAGCAATGTTTGAATAAGGAGATGTAGATGATAGGTTGTTGATGTTTTTGTTTCTTATAGTGGAGTGTGTCCGCAAGAATTTTTCGTGGAAGCCGTATTTATAGAATGCACTTTTTTGAATTATCAATTACAAATTTTCTCGTATATCTTTTGGCTGAGCTTCACTTGGGATAACATCAGGTATCCTGATATGCTTCCAACTACTTTTGGCAATCCACTATGGTGTACGGATGATGAGCTTTTGGAGCTAGAAGGGACAACATTGTGTCGAGCAACTGAATTACAGGTAAAAGATCTTTGGGCATCTGGCCATGACATTTAAACACTCACATGTAGATTGTGTACATATACGCGCCGTCTAATCTGGAAAAATCCATGCTATGATGATTTATTATGGTCCTTCTAAGAGGATGAAGGGTATATATAATAATATGCACAATATGTTTTTGAAATTTTTTCTTAAGACATGCCCGAAAGTGCTTTTAATTTCTTATGACACGCCAGGCTCATTTGGCTTGCCAACACACCGAAGCTTTGTTTGTTTTATGTTACAAAGTATCTAGATTAATATTTGGTTCTGTCAAATATGGTTTAAGTAGTTATCTTCTTTGTGTAGTATATTTGACAGAAGACAGGTTTATCTTACAGAAGAAAACTTTGCTGTCTTTATTTGATGATAAACTGATGACTCTGGTGGAGAAACTGTTAACTCTGTACAGGGATTTAGAAAGCTGTGTCAGAAATATGATTTTTCCCTCTATAATTGTCATAAGAGAATGAAATTCGTAGGTCTTATCCAGTAATTTTGATCATATAATTACCATATATGTTCTTATCCAGCTGGTGGACCTATGCGGTTTCATCATTGAGTCATCATGTGACTCTACTACGCTCATGCTGCTTTTTATATGAATTGACATTCTCTTTAAATTTAATGGTCCGGACTCTTGATGTCTGGTATTTGATGGCGGACTGTCCAATGTTTTGTTTTTTGTTTTTTCTTACAGATAGTCTGCCATGTAATCTTGAAAGATGCTATCTAAAATTACATGTGGAACAACATTCAGATCGATAGACATTATAGATAGTTATATGCATTTTTAATATTACTGTGATTAGTTTCTGATAATATCCAATACCTGTTGCTTCTTTTTCAGAGATGTTTGCTTTGAAGATTTCCTTCGGTAGGTACCATGTTGTGAATAATCATTGAATTCTCTTCCTAATTATGTCTGTTCATGGGGCTCTGCACCTTTGTTCCTTATGCTTCTCAATTTGCTGTCATGCTAGGGCAAATTCTTTGGTGCAGATGTGATTATGTTTAGCCGTCACGAGGATACGATGTTATTGACTCCAATAGTTAGATTTATTGCATTTTTAGTTTCTTTGTTATCTAGTTATTTACTGTGATTATTCATAATATGTTACTGTTTTCTGGTTTTCAACAAACAAGATTTTTATATGGTTTTTGGACGTGCGTGTTGTGCACTATAATTGATTCTCTTTTGTTTTCTTGTTTTTTTTTCTTGGGGGTGGGAGGATAAGTGGACAGCAATAGGAGGATCTATAAAATGACTGTTGAAACATTCAAAACTCAATTATTTAAGATCTATGAATCTTTGTGGGCCCTTGGGTGCCATTTGATTCTCCGAAGAATAATTCTTATGAACTTTTCCTTCTCTCCACCCGAGCTCTCTGTTTCAATATGTTATTGTGCAAGTAAATACATAGTCAGAGTCATGAATGTCGTATGCGGGATCTCTGAGACATTTGGATTTGTTCACAATCTTTCTCCTTAGGGACCTCTCTCCCTTTGTGTGTGTGTTTGAAGGGCGTCCTACATTTGTGATGCAAATTAATGCCATCCTACTTTAGTGTTAATATTTTGTGCGTTAAATTGATGCTGTTGTTTCTTTACTCATTTATTTTTTGACTCAAAGCATTGGTCTTCTCTCTTATACATTATTGGCATGGACAGGCCATGACAGAATAGTAGTACCGATAGTATAACCATGTGCTGTTAGTTGTATATTGTGAGCTGGCGTGTTAGTTACGATTACTAGTTAGTTAGCACTCTGTTAAGTTAATAAGCTGGTTAGTGTTAATTAAGCTGAACTGATCTACATGTATATATATAAGCTGGTACTGTTACTTTGAGTTTTAATGAAAACCATTCCTTCAATATCAAATATCTCTCTCGAACTCTCTGTTCTATCTTCTGTGATTTCTAAGCTTGATTGAGCACTTTAATGGAGTTATAGAGGAAAGCTTTCATTTTGTAGACTGGGATCAAGCAGTTGGACCAGATTTGGCACACTTTTGTCATCCCTTTTCACTTCTCTGCAATTGTGTGAAAGGGTCATCAAACTTAAAATTGCCTGTGCAGCAACCTCTCTTGCACTGTTTGATTTAGCTTCAAGCATCTTCACAAGGAGAGGAATGCACCCGGCTTCACCGCCAATCAGTTTTTTCATCTCTGTTGAGCTGCAAAACCCGGCAAATTGCGGATGCAGCAGCCTGCTGTGCACCTAGTGAACCGGATTTAAGCACGTGAATCATGCATGGGAGGAAACCAAGAGAAACCAAAACCTCCATAGAAACTGAGCCAACCAAATTCCTCAATGCCCCGACTGCAGATTCTTGTGGCAATGGACCAGTAAGATAAACCAACAGGCTCCGAATTCCACCTTCTGATATTACTGATCTCCTTAGATTGTCATTGCTTGCAGTACTGCCATCATAGTTTTTTTTTCAAAGTAAGGAGGGACCAAATATACCATACAAGTCTTGAAAAAAACCTAAAAATTACAATACTGCCATCATAGTTTTTTTTTTCTAAAAATTATAATGCAAGGATAATAATGGTATTTCACACATCATTCAAAATAAATAAAAAATATAGTACAACTAGTTTTTTTCTTTTTTCTTCAATGTATAGGTTTTATATATAAAAGGCAAGGAATGAGTTTTATTATAAATTTCTGAAGAGCATACAAATCAGATAATCACTTTTTCTTTTTCTAATTTGTAGGGTCTGAATGGGAAGTTGATTGAGTTGAGGACTAATGGATAAGAAAACTCGCGGAAAATTTATATTTGGAAGAATGAATGTGTGATATGTGGACAAGGTTTTGTGTCATCCATAATAAAGAAAAACAAAAGAGAAAGTGATGCTCTTAATAAAAGTTTTGTGGACAAGGTTTTGTGGCAACTTTGTATTGTCCGTGCTACTGGAGTTCGTGGCCATACTGCTAATAAAAGTTTTCCAATTTATTAAGTGAGATTATACAACAAAGAATATAATACCTACACACGTGGTACATAAATGTCCTTCGACAAAATTACATGAATTTCTTTATAGAGGGATTTTGGTAGAATGTCACTTGAACTTATACCTCAGTTTCAATTTGTCACCTTAAAGAAAAATTTAAGAGAAATGTCATCTTAGTTAATCAAAATCCATGATTTGTCATATGACTTTAACACTATCTAATTTTTCATTCATTTTTAAAGGTATTTTAGTCTTTCCATTTGAATTTGTCATCAAAATCCATGAAGTTTAAAAGTAATGAGTTAGATGATAAATTCAGATACTGTAATTTGGAGAGTTTTGAGAAGTGGGTTTTTGAAATCACCCCTTTCAGAGAGTTCATGCCAAAATCGATTTGGCCCAGACTTTCAAGTATTCTTCTGCATAATCGATTGGTATTAAGATACAAGAATTTCAAAGATGAAAAGCTCGTAAGATTAGTTAATGACCCCGCAAGGCCATTCCAGGTGAGATCCAAAAACTCTAATGAGTTTTGAGCACACATAGGCAATAGTTGAACAAACTTGGATAGTTGTCCACTCAGATGATTACTTTGAAGCCACAATGATTGCAAAGGACATAGCCCAGCAAAAGATTTCAAGTGTCCTCCTTCAATCTGGTTATTATCTAGATAAAGATCTAACCATTTCGATTTTCTTAGGAGCTACGGAATGCCCATATCTTTTTAAGTGCCGTATGCTGTCTTCTTGTTGATTGGTCAAAAGGAAAAACTTGGTCGTAGCAATATAGGGTAGCCTCTACTACTTGATTAGTTTTCGAATTCTCGATTAGTTTGGATCACACTATATTGATTGCCTTGATAGATGAAAGCATACTGATTGACTTGATAGATGAAAGCAAGATGCATGTTGAAGAGTATCCAAATCAAATGATCACTTTTTTCTTATTTCTTGGGTCTGAATAGGAAGTTGATTGAGTTGGCACATCCTTTCAACTTGAGATGGGATTCCTTCCTTTGAAATGCTTCCCTATCCTTGTAACGTATTTCAAATATTCACACACATACAAGAGATCAAAATAGAACCACATATTAATGTTACATTACATAGTGTGGGGGCTGTACGATTACACATGAAAGTTTCTCATATTATAGTTATTTTAAAGAGATTCTTGAAGCAATAGCATACTTAGTGCTAACTATAAAGTTCGGAGTTTGGATGAGGGAAATAAACTTGGGATTTTGCATGAAATTAAAATTTCTAAATTGATGACATAAACCAAGTCTCATGTTTGGATTAAAAAATCAAAGCAATTTAGAAATTCTATGTAAAAAAAAACATGGAATTTGGAGGTCATAAATCTCAACTTTAAATTCTACCAAAAGTAGTCATTATTTCTAAAATTTGAGAATGACATACCCTTATTTTTTGTGGTCGAATTGAGAATATCATACTTCAAAGCTATTTGGTTAATTGAAATTATCTTCAAGTACCATAAGAGAAGGAAGAATAGATGGAAGCTAGAGAGTAGCTGCCAAGATACAAATAATAAATTTACTCATCATTGACTTAATTTGCTTGCTTTTTTTGCTTCCTTGTGGAAAAAAGGGAAAGTGAAGAAGAAATTTCCCTTTCATTTCCATGTGCAATAGTGCACATAGAATAGAAAACAAAGAAAATGACCTAAGAAAGGGATGCCATTTAATTTAGTGATACGGAATTCTTTGGTCTATACAGTTGACCTCATGAATAAACCTCTCATCAGTTTTCTCCATCCTATTGATATTGATCATCATCACCCTCTACTTGTGCTCACACATCCTGCTAAAACTCCCTTATTGATGGGAATTGCTTGGCAAGTTCATTTCTTTGAGAGTATCACGCGGGCAATATTATTCAGATCAATTACTTGTATAATTTAAGCCCTATAATTTTGGCAATTTGTGGGCTTGGAGCCTTAGACTCTGTTCGCTTGTTTTTGCTTGGTTCTTCCAACTTTGGGCTGTCTTGTTTCTCAGCCATGTATTTGGGGTTTTTTATGGAGCTTTTTAGGACAAACAAAAAAAAAAAAAAAAAAAAAAAAAAAAAAAAAAAAAAAAAAAAAAAATTCTCCAAATCACAAATTTCACCGAAATCCTAAAGGTCATCAAAATCAAACCACTGTAAAATCTCTGAAATTTGGTATGAATTGATGATATGATATGATCAGCTATTAGAATTGGATTATGCTTACCTAAAATGTTAATTAATTAGTTTAGTAATCTATAATGTTATTTATTTGGTCCCTTAACTTAAACCCGATTTGCATTTGAGTTCATCAATTTCCAAAATCATTCCAGTGGTTCTTCAACTTCAGTTATATTAGGATAAATGGTCCTGCAGTCAATTTTGTTAACTTTTCTGTTAAATTCAGGGGCAAAATGATATTTTTATATTAAATTGATTAAAATTTGGATAAAAAATTAAAATTAAACTCTCTCTCTCTCTCCCCCTCTATCCCGATTTCTACTCCCCCCAAATTTTATTAATTTATTTTTGTTGGTTTTTAATTTGATTTTCATTTATTGTTATTTTAAAGATATGATTTTTATTTTTTTTGTTTTAATATAAAAATACCAGAGCCAACCTATGAAGAAACCAAGCAAAAGCTGCAGAAGAAGCAGGCCTAAAATGAATATATACAAATAGACAGTTTGGATTAATAAAATACAATAAGGAATAAGCCTTACAAGAATATCCCTCAACTGAAGCTCAAATATATATATATGTATTTTTTTTCGCAGAACTCGTTCATCAGATATTAACCTCTTTGACTTTGAGTTAACGAAAAACAAAGTGTTCAATGCACCATCAAATGTTTTAGTTTTTCTCACCATCCGTGTTATAAAAGCAAGATTGCATCTTGTTTGCTGCTATATACACTAATATTAGAAGTAACAAGATGGTTCACCTCTACTTTGTAACTTTGGTTGTATTTATTATTATTATTTTTTCGGATGAGCTTGGTTGTATTAATTTCGGTTGACTGAAAGTTATCCGTCACCAAAAAAAAAAAAAAGTAAAAAACAGAAGATGAAAATGAATAAGATAAGGGTACCCTGTTGGTTTTTTATTTTTTATTGGCCGAACTTATTTGTTATTTGTTTGTTTAAATTTTTTTAATAAGTTATCCAATTTTCTGTTCTCGTTCGTGGTGATGGATAGAGTAGAGATGGAGCAAATATTGGACGTTAGTGGCAGGCATTACATCTAAATATCGACTGTTTGGATACAAGCTAAAATTGGAAACTAACCAACCCTCCATTGGAATAATTCTTTTCTATCATCGAATTACTTTTATTCCGAAGCCTCCACGTTGCCGTTATTGTATTAACACTCTTTCTTTGGTAGTATTTATTATTATTATTTTTTCGGATGAGCTTGGTTGTATTAATTTCGGTTGACTGAAAGTTATCCGTCACCCAAAACTAAAACATTTGATGGTGCATTGAACACTTTTGTTATTGTATTAACACTCTTTCTTTTCTTCAAAACATGAGGGATGCTGTGGAAGTAAAGAAAGCAAATGATTCATAATGACATCATCCCCTTGAAATACAATCGATTACCTTGAACCACATATCATTCCAAGACATTGACAGAGATGCTTGTTTAGAGTTTATTCTGTAGTGAACTACTTGTCATTTTATGAAATATATAATAATAAAAGCGTTATTCCTTTTATTTTCTTTTTAAGAAATCAAAAGATTTTCGACATAAATAGTCCTCCAATTATTGCCCTAGTATCATTTTGGTTCACCAAATAATATTATTGAAGCATAAAGGCATAGTAATAATTATTGTAACCATTCAAACAATGATTAAGATTGAACATGATTACAAATTTACATAGGTTGGATTCTATTTCAAATTTTCATAAATCAATGAGAGGTTGCGATTTGTATTTTATTAAACAAAGAAAAAGAACTTCAGAGGTATTTGACATGTTTCGGTTGCGTATGATTTATATGATACTTGTCGTTGGGACCACAATATTTCTATTTGATTATGTTTAGTTGTAAGTCTTTAATTTTTCTGCTGAAGAAAATTTGAGAATTTAAATAATTTTTGGGCTGTTTGTTTGGGTAGGAGTGAATTTGAATTTGGGCTCCTAAGTCCAAATCCAATTGTTTGGGTCTGCATTAATAGCCCAGATTTGAATTCGGGCCAAAATTCCAGAGCTCAAATTTAAAGACCGGCCCATCGTCTAATCAATGAGATTGATGTTATTACTGGTCGGGTTGGATTCAATCCCAAAACATTACCCAAATTCTCTCTCTTAAAAAGAGAAACAAGTTTCCAACTGACATGTTTTTCATGTCAGTGCTTATTCATACTTTACATCGTATATACCTTTTTTGTTATAAATTTTAATAAATAAATAGAAAGTGATTCTAGAGCACAAAATTATATTTAGGCCATCTCTAGTAGTTGAGGGCTAAACATAGCCCACCCATAAAATTTAATCCACAATTTATAGTTTTTTTAATAAAAAAAATAGAGTTGGATTATAG